CGTTGGGGCGAGGCCTTCTGATCTCGTCCGCTCTGGAACCTCTTCCACGTGCCTCTGCATATTAATTTCACATCTCTGAAACATGGTGAGAGGCTTAAGCACAAGCAACAAGACTGTGGTGAGTTCTTCACTTACAAGGATAAGAAAAGAGGCTAATTACCCTCGTCACACATTTCGCCACCATAGGCGCCCCCCAACATATGCTGTCGAATGCATTGTTTCTTAGGGTCTATATAATGTTCAAAATAACAAGCACAATATTTTGGCAAAAGAACATGTAGAAGAGGCAAAATACATTCAACTCTACTTTCTGTGACAGCTTAGCAACAATTTAAGTATGTTTAAGAACACATTTGGCAGAATAACTAAAAATTTACCTATCAATTTTGAGGTATTTGCAAAATGATATGAGAAATAACTGAAGGATTTGTACTGCTACTGAGTGCTTCAGTTAGAGTTTACATTCATGACTCAAAAATTTACTTAAGAGCCAGCGAGACAGCTCAGCGGTCTAAAGCACCTGCTTAGGCAAGCTTAGGCAGCCACAGGGGACCAAGGTTCATTCCCTGGCACCACATGCCACACCAGCCCAGCTCCCAGGATGGGCTGAGCTGGCCAAAAATAAAATAAATAATAGAGAAATAATAAAATTTACTTTTTTATTTTTTATTTTTTTACTTTTAAATTTGGATAAGGGAAATGTAGTATATACTACCCATGGAATTTTTTTCATGTTTTTAAATGAAGGAAACGGTTCTATGTACGACAGCACCGTTTCTATGGATTATGCAAAGGGAGCAAACTCACTGAAGCACACAGTAGAATGGTGCTTCCACAGGGCGAGCACAGGGAGACGCGGGGACTTACTGTTACTTGGCGTTAGAGTGCTCCATCGGAAGGGTGGTGGCTGGGCAGCCCTAGGTCCCTAGGCTCCTAGGAAGCAAATGGAAAGCCACCTCCGCAGAAACGGTGCCCACCAGTGTGAAAGTGCCGGCTCGCCTCTCCCCAGGCGCTCCCCACAGCGGTGATCTGGACGGCATAGAGCTCCTCCTTGTCCCATCAAGCAGCATCTTGGGCCGCTACTGGGGTCACTGCCTGACGTTCTCCCTCTCGGCCTCCTTGGCAGAGCTCCTCGGTTCATCTCAGTTTGGAGCTCCACAGTCCGTGCTTCCTTTCTGCTCACATAAACACTCTGCAGTTTTAACATGCCAAGGCTTATCTTGTGACCTGAGAGCAAAATTTTAGTTATGCCGCATGATTAATTTCAGTTCTGTACAACATCGTGTCTATAGCCAACAGTACTGAATGTATAATGAAAAGGCTATTTTAAAAGATCAGCATCATGTTAAGAGTTTATACTACCAAAAATCATATAAAACATTAGGGCTTAGAGATAGTTTCATGAAGGACCAGCCATGCTATTCAATCTACCACCTACAGTAAATTTTAAGATGTGCATAAACTAGCTCCCCACAAAAATACAAAGTTTAGACATACGTGAGCACTATTCTATATGGTGAGCTGTTTTTCTTTTGAAACATATATGAACAAACACTAAAAGCTTACTGTGTGTCAGATGGCTTTGCGTAAAGTATATAAATTAGCTCATTAATTATCTTGACAATCTTGTGATCCTCTTATTTTTATATATCATTGTTGAATAAACTGAGGTATTGACAAAACAAATAAATACAAGACATTTTCTTAGAGTGTTTATGCAGCTATAACCAAATACCTGAGGTTGGGTATCTTATAAGCAATAGAAATTTATTCCTTAGTATTCTGGAGGCTGAGTCCAAAATTAGAGAAACAGAAAGTTTGTGCCTGGGGAGAAAGCATTCCTCAGATATGGTGACATGTACAGCAGGAGGCCCAGAAAAGCAGAAGGGACTATGAGGTGAGTGTTACCCTGCTCCTCGTTTATCAGGTCCCTAACTCCCTTCAGGAGGTTGTCATGACTTACATCACTCTACCTCTTTGCACTACTTATCAGCAATAAAGTTTCAATATTCTAATTTTGGGAGACATGCTCAAATCATAGCAGCCATCGTGTAACATTATGAAACACTTGGTTAAGAACACCGGCTGCTCACTGAACCAATAGTGCTTGATCCCCTCCTACTCAGCAGACACTATGAGGCCTGGGAAATACGGCTGGGAGCAGCACAGTCACATTTCTGTCCTCGAGTGGAGAGGAGGGAAACAGTACCCCAAGCGACAGGCACGTGAAAGGTGGCTGAACGTTCTGGGGGGTGAAGACTGTGTCTGTGAGAATGCTGAGGGCAGAGCTGGCAGGCCAGGTGGCTGGATGGTGAGCTGGGGAGGAGCGCCCTGGGGTTGGAAAGGGCATGGAGAAGCAGCCCGGGGAAAATAACCCACGAAATATGTAAGGACCCTATTTAGGGATTATGCAAATTAATATTGTGGGCTGTCTGACCAAAACGTTCAGGAAGCGTCAGAATTGCTCTGCTATTGCAGGGTTAATTAGGGGCATTGGGAGGAAGTGTGTTGGGCTTTAGTGTAATGCAGGCTGTAGATGTGAATTTCTTAGGCATAATTCAACATTGTCACTGAAGAAGTTAATTGTCCTATAAATACATCTTGGCTGTCCATTCTGAAGAAGATTTTAAAAGCCTAATAAACTGCATTTGAAAGCTTTTCCCCTTTGCTCTTCATTATAAATGTCATTTGTAATTGCTACAATGAGCCGTAATTACCTGCAGGTAGATTAGATGAAATCCAAGTGCCTTTGCTATCTCCCGTAATTAAGGAAGGCAAGCTCCAGGGAAGAGGAAAATGGATCCAGTTGTGCTTGCTTTCTCTTAAGTACAGAAAGGACACTAAGGAGAAGTCAGACTACACTATTGTAATTCTCAGGTTATTAATACAATAAAGGATTAACATGGAAGAACTCTTATTACTGCTACTTTGGACTCAGACCAAAGCCCTGACTCCCCTTGCTGGACTTTTATCATGACCCTTTCTATGGTAGTCTGCAGGGAAGATCCCTCTTTTTGATACTGACTATAAAAAGAAAATGATTTCATCATTCGAATCAGTAAATGGTTGTCTTAAATTTACCATGTATTTTTCTCTTCAATTATATGGTAACTGCTCTGTTATTCCCATTATTTTAATTTTTCCAAAAGAATCATTTTTACCTAGTTTTAATGGAGGAAATAAAAGTCATCTGCTTTTGAACAGAGAAGGAAAATGTGAAGGCTCTTTCTAATTTGCCCTCTTCTCGGTACCTTTTATAACTACTGAGGCAGTTTTACAAATTTCCCTATAGAATTATACAGATTAATTGCTTCTGGTTGTGAAGAAAACTCACCAAAACTGTACAAAGAATAAAGGGAGGCAGCTCTTCCAGGTACCCCCAGAGCAGTGACTGTGGAGTCTCAGGAGGCAGCAGGTCACCAGGCTCAGGGCTCCATGATATTGCAGCACAGGCCCCGAGGCTCCGGGTGAGCAACGGGCATGTTTGCACAGGGTTAAGAATGTTTTGCTTTTCTTTCAGTAAACAGGGTTCCACTATGGTCAGAGGGGCTGAGGAACTCTTTTTGATGAGTAATTCCTAAAGGAGTGTGAAGCATTCACTGAATATTGGCTACTAACCTGTCTTGAGTTTGCTGATTCACAACACCCACAAGTTGCAGGTTACAAAAAGTGGAGCTTTTACTTTGAGACAGGTGTCAGAAGTAGGCAGAAGCTCGGATTCATTGTGAACCTGTCCCCACGGCTCAGGAACGCTGCCCTGGAATGAATGAATCTTGTCTGCTCTGGCTTCAGCTGCATAGTAGCTGAGAGCCCTCAGGAAGCAGCTCTCCTTGGGTTTTATGTCTGAAGGGTACACAAAAAGATAGATTAAAATGTGGGTGCATATCTAAGCCTAGGGGGCTGCCCCAGAGTCAAGGGTTCGGGACTGATCTCCTGTACTTTAGGTGTCACTCTGCCACCACGGTCTGGAACTTTATAGGAACAGCAAGTGGGAAAACAGGAGAAGTGTTCTGCAGGGATGTAAGGGGGTGAGGCTTTCTCTCCTATCTATTTTATGCCAGAGTTGGGATGGAAAGCATTCTATTCTCTGTGCTCATGAGTGTAACTTTGCAGAAAGACAACTCCACATTTCAATTACTGTTGTTGCGTGACATGAAGAGAGATTTTCAAAGCAAAATAATGCATGATAGTTACAACAAAAATACATCTAACAAATAAAGGGTAAAATTATCTTTCCCGGAGCCGGGGAGATGGCTCAGTAGAATAAGCGCTTGCCTGGCAAGCACAAAGGCCTGAGTTCAATCCCCAAAAAAAAAAAAAAAAAAAAAAAAAATCTTTCTCTATGTCATTTTACTACCCAGAGGAAAGCATGTTTAGAATATGTCCATATGGCCTATTGCTATATATACTATTTTTTGTTATGTGGATATTTTTAATAAAAAAGCACACAAGATATGAAATCAATACATAAAAGTTAATAGCATCACTCTATACCCATAATGAATCCACTGAGCGAAATACAAGGAAAACAATTCTGTTCATAATGCTTAAAAATTAAATACCTACTTATCAACCTAATGAAAGAGGTGAAGACCTCTATAATAAAATTACAGAACTCTGGCTAAAGAAATGGAAAGAGGCATTAGAAAAATGGGAAGATGTCCCTGGTTCTTGTATAGGTAGAAATAATATTGTGTAAGTGGCCATTTACCCAAAAGAATCTGTAGATTTCATACAATCTCTATTAAAAGGCCAACATTCTTCATAGAATTACAAAAAGTAATCTTCAAATTCACATGGACTCAGAAAATGTCCAGCATAGCCAAAGCAACCCTGAGCAAAAAGAGCAAAACTTCTGATATCATGTATCAGATTTAAAGTTATAATACCAAAGTATATTTTAAAACATGCACAGGTACAGAGATGGATGTGTACACCAGCAGAGTGGAGCAGAGGACACAGAACCAAAGCCACCTGCCCACAGCCATCTGATTTTTTTTTTTAATATAGACTGCTTCATGAGTTTGTGCATCATCCTTGCACAGGGGCTATGCTAATCTTCTCTGTGTCATTCCAGTTTTAGTGGATGTGCTGCCCAACGGAGCACAGCAGTCTGATTCCTGACAAAGGGGCCAAAACCACAATGGAGAGAAAACAATTCTTCAACAAAAGTGTTGGCAGAAGATGGGACTGGATCCCCACTTCTCACCTTGTACTCAAATCAAATCAAATCAAAATGAAACCATGAGCTAGCTCTAAGTGTGGAAACTTAGACATATTAGAACAAAACACAGGGAAATGTGTAGAGCCTCAGACATGGGGAATGACTTCCTGGACAAAAATGTAAAAACGCTGAAATAATATCAGGAAGCAGTGAATGGGATTGCGTCAAATTATGAAGCTTCTGCACAGCAAAGGAAACTATCAATGGAATGAAAAGACAGCCCAGAGAATGGAAGAAAAGTTTTGCTAGCTACTCCTCTGGTAGAGGACTAGTACCTAGAATACACAAAGAACTCAATATGTTGACCCTCCAAAGTGAGTGACTCTATCAGCAAAACAGGAAAATGAACTGCACATCCACTTCTCAAAAGAAGTTCAAATGGGTACTAAGTACATGAAAAAAAGTATCTAACGTCTTTGCCATCAGGAAAATGCAAGTGAGAGCAACTCTGGCATTTCATCTTAGTCCAGTGAAGGTGGTGGGCTTCAAGAACATACACACAATACAACGGATGTTGCTGAGGGTAGAGGGGGAAAATGAACCCTCTTAGATTGCACATGGGAATGTAAATTAGTGCAACCACTATGAAAATTAGTTTGAAATTTCTCAAAAAACTAAAATTAAAAATTTTATTTGCTCCAGTAATACTACTTGTGGAGTCCTAGCCCAGTCCTGGTGAGAGTATGGGAGAGCTTCGGCTACCCTGCACCGGTGGGACCGGCCATCCCAGCCCAGGCGCAGAGTGGGTGAGACCCTCTTCCACCCCCTTGGGATGCCCCCCACCACTCCGCAGCATCTCCTCCACCTCGCCCGCTGAGTAGGAATTTCTGCCGTGTTCTGGAACCCCTAGATCCAGTCCTAGCCCAGGCCCAGTGAGTGTGTGGGAGAGCTTCCTGCTACCCTGAGTTGGCAGGACCTACTGGTCCCAGCCCAGGCGCAACATGGGTAAGACCCTCTTTCACCCCCTTGGGACGCCCCCACCACTCTGTAGTACCCCCCACCCTGCCCACTGAATGGGAGTTCCTGTCGCGTTCCAGAAACCCCCAAATCCAGCCCTAGACCAGGCCCCGTGAGTATGTGGGAGAGTTGCCTCTCCCCTCTACTCCGCCTTGTCCCCTCCAGATTCAGCTCAGGCCTGGCATACAGGCCTGGGGTGAAACCCTGCAGAGAGTATAGGGGACAGAACCACCCAGCTAGTCCAGGAGCAGAACATCTTGCCAGAGGGGCACAACAGGTTCACCCCCAAGGGCAGCAGCAGGAAGGAGCTGAGCACAGCAGCCAGACCCAAGCCAGGCACAATTGGATAAATCCAAACTTTGTAGATCTGCACCTGAACTTCAGTACGTGCTGAGGTTATAACTGCACCAAAGAACTACAACGAAGGTCAAAAGACATTGCTACACAAAATGACAATGAGAAGAAGCAAAATGCAATCTCAGGACCCAAGCCCACCCATAACAAGTGCAGAGGACACTAACACAGAACAAAGTGGGACTCACACAGCTGAAATCAATGAATCAATGGCTTCTGAAATAAAGAAACAGCTGCAGAAAGGTATAGAGGAACT